AAAAAAAAAAAAAAAAATCTTTAAAAATTAAGAAAGTGTGTAAAAAGTAAGCCCACTGTGATGTTACTTAGATATCCATCATTTTTAAATGTAGTCATCATGCTTGCTCTTATCCCAAATGTACTGATACATACATTTCACTAAAATTTTTCTACTTTAACTAAAAAAGTTAGTGCTTTTATTTTGCAATTACAGATATTTCAATTTTGTAACTAAACTATAAATTGTTTACAATATACATATTAATTTGCTGTCTTGTATGGCGATCTCTATATGATGTAAATTCTATTAAAATGTTTCTGAGGCCGGGGACGGAGGCTCCCGCTTGTAATCCTAGCAGTCTGGAAGGCGGAGGCAGGTGAATTGCTTGAGCTCAGGAGTTTGAGACCAGCCTGAGGAAGACCAAGACCCTGTCTTTACTAAAAATAGAAAACTATCTGGGCATGGTGGTGGGCACCTGTAGTCCCAGCACCTCAGGAGTTTGAGGTATGAGGATCATTTAAGCCCAGGTGTTTGAAGTTGCTGTGAGTTGTGATGCTACAGCACTCTACCTAGGGTGACAAAATGAGACTCTGTCTCAAAAAAAAAAAAATGTTTTTGAAACTGCTGTAATTTACCATACACATTTATTATTTTGTATTATTATGTTTAATGTGCTAATAGTTCTCTTTTCCTCCCAAAGCTTTATTTAGGAACTTTTCATCATTATTTATGACTGCTTTTGTTAATTTTTAAAGATGTTTTTGCTTTTGCTAAGTTTTATTTTCTGGTGTCTTTTTTTTTTTTTTTTCAGTTTTTGGCTGGGGCTGGGTTTGAACCTACCACTGCTGGCATATGGGGCTGGCGCCCTACTCCTTTGAGCCACAGGCACTGCCCAATTTTCTCGTGTCTTTTTAAGCTTATTTAACTTATTTCCTTATTTTATCTTGTTTCATAAAACTACTAAAACTGAGAATATTCTTTTGATATTTAGGTTTCTTCTTAATGACATATTTTAATAATCTCTGTTGATGTTTTCACATCTCCTGTTATCAAATTTTTTATTATTGATTCCAGTTTTACAGCAATGGATTAGGGACTATAAGGAGCAAAATTTCTACTCATAATCAGAATGTTCATGAAGGCTTCATACCAGGTCAAGGACATAAACTTTTTATCACTATCATTTTTGGGTTTTATACATTTATGTTGCATTATTTGGTGCATAAAATTTATCAGTGATATGTCTTTAATGTATCTATAGTTATAAATAAGCCCTAAAAATTACCATATTAGCTTGGATACAGTTTCATAGAGTTTAAAAGTGAGTTACTGACATCGAAAAAATTACTGTGAGAACTGTAAGATGTAGGATGTACCGTAGTTTTGCTGCTTAACGTTTTTCTGTCTCCCTTCCTAGGAACTTCATTTTCTTTTCTTTTCTTTTTTCTTTTTAGACAGAGTATCACTTTGTCACCCTATGTAGAGTAATCTGGTGTCACAGCTCACAGCAACTTCAAACTCTTGGGCTTAAGTGATTCTCTTGCCTTAGCCTCCCCAAGTAGCTGGGACTATAGGCCCCACCATAGCACCCAGATATATATATATATTTATATATTTTTTTTCTTTTTTCCCAGAGACAAGGTCTTGCTCTGGCTCAGGCTGGTCTTGAACTCATGAGCTCAAGCAATCCACCTGCCTCGGCCTCCCAGAGTGATAGGATTGCAGACGTGAGCCACTGTGCACAGCTGGAACTTCATTTTCCTTACTTATTTCCATTGTATTTACTCAAGCATATCTTAGTTATGTTCTGTCTTTCATTTCCTTTATATAATTTATTAGCATTATATATGTTTCTGTATTTTTTAAACATAGCTCAGCCACCCCACCTTTTAATTCTATCCTTGTTTCAACCCACTAGTTTTACCAATTGCAAGTTATAGTAAATCTTTTGATATAGTGGAGGATTACTTGCTCTTTCTTGGAGCAATTCTTCTTAAAATGCATATTCTACACCTAGCTTTCTGTTTCTTAAGAGACTTTCTTCTTTTGTGGGTTTGTGTGTATGTGTGTGTGTGTGTGAGGGTCTCATTTTTTTAATAGAATGATTTTTAGTGTTTAAAACATAGGCCCATTGCAATGTTTCTTGGATATTCATTGTTTTTGAGTATGGACAGTCACCAGGCTGGCTCTTTTCCCAAAAACACTGGAATAACTTGCTTTGGCCTTTTCATCTTTCTTTCTGTTTTCATCTGGGTGCTCTTTTACTTGGATTTTTAGAGCTTCTCCTGGAGGATTAAATATTAATAGTTTTTCAGTTATGTGCAGTCCTTCACTCACTTGGTGGGAAAGTGCTAGTGGATATCTGGAAGTGTTAGTCATCATCTGGATTACTAATATATATCATATATAATTTTTCAATCACTTTTCCCCCAAACCAATGAAATTGCTAGTTGGAGTCACACCTAGCTCTACTTGGTGTGCAGCTCTGTCACTCAGTTATGAATATCTTAATCTTCCCAGCAATGAGCAGTCTTTATATTGGACAACAACTCCAGGGGGATGTTTTATTTACCACAGCCCAGTGGTGTGGAGAGAAAGAACACACGTGTTCTGTGACCTTGCGAGTGTGTTAAGTTTTAACATATCAGGCATACACTATATGGACTGTGTGATATAGGCTTACTGGCATTTCGTCATTTTAGAGCTGTTCAGACTGACATCTGTTCATATTGATCTTTTCTATTTCTTCTTATTTTTGTTAAAGTTATTAGGTTAAAAGAGAAGTTATGGAAATGTTGCGTTTGTTCTAGCAACATTTACATCTTAAAAATCTGTTTCTCAAAACTTATTTCCTTTTCATGCTTAGCAATGTATGATGTTCTTAATGAGTAATGAAGATGTTTTTCTTGCTCAGAAAAATTGCTGTTGTTAAGTGGGCCCCACGGTGGTGTTAACTACAAGGGAAATGAATTACTTCCCTTAAACTGGGCTGTGCACTTTGGGAAGGCCCCTGGACTCTGCTGTTTTTCTCTCTGATTTCATTCAAAGGTGTTTACCATGAAGTTGTGAAGGGTTCGGAATGAAAAGGAGATGCCAGAGATCTGAGGCAGCAATTCGTACTACAGATATAAAAAAGGTAATGACTTAGGAGCTCATGAATGCAATGTCAGGGGGACATTTTCAGAGCACTGAGGACAAAGAGATTACTAATAAGAGTTAATGTTGCATACCATTTACTTGAAGAAAATGAGGAAGAGACATTTGCTTTAGTGATAGACATTTGCTTAGTTACAGACAGCATATGTGAACTTCCTACTGAGAAAGAGTAGGAGAAAAAGGACAAGATATGAATGAGGATATTATAGGGTGTTTCCATTTTGCCATTGTTGTCTTCATCAAAATCAAGATGAGAGTGTGTGTGACTAGGAGGCCTAGTTGCCACATTTTAAGTCTCTTCTACTCACATTAATACTATTAATAAAATTAAGAAGGAACATTGGTAAGGCTTCTGCCAGATTTTTAGCCCTATTCATTTATTAATTTGATAATGATGTCAACTATCTACTAGTGGACTAAATCTATATAAGGGTCTCTTGGGAAAACAAGAGATATAAACTGACAGGTGACTTCTGAGTGGTGACTTGGTGCTGAGCACTTGAAGGGCTGGGGCAGCAAACTCCTGTCATACATAGCCCCTGGCTTCATGAATCTCACCAACTATTAAATAGATACCTTAGTCAAATACAAACAAAACAAAACAAAACAACTAAAAAACAAAACTAGTCTCTTAGCAAGTTTTTCATATAGTTAAGAACAAAAGTTATAGGAGTGTGCTATGGTAAAAAACTACCTTTTACTAACAGAAGATGCCTTGGTAACTGAGGGTATAATGGAAGAACTGGCCTTTGTATGATGAAAAATTAATTAGCATCGTCCTAATGAGTGCTACTTCATACTTTGGATATACTGTTTATTTGGAAATAAAATCAGATATAATTTTTTTGGAAATAAAACATCTCCTTAATTATATGCTTTCAGCAACAGGATTGCAAATGATTCAGAAAGAAAATATCTAAAATCATGAAGATACTTTATTTATTAAAAGCTAATTTTCAGGACAGGAGCATCCTGGATCCATGTAAAAGGAAGCAGCCAAAAAATAAATAAAGCAAACAAACAAGAACCGAAGGAAAGAAGAGGAATAACAGAGTGTAGAATGAACAGAGAGGTGAATTCAGAAGAAATAAATTTAAGTGTTGCTTTTATGACTCATTAAGCATGTACCTTTGGCAAGGTCACATAAGCTCTCAGGAGCTGGTTTTTAATTAATATCAATCATAGCCAGTATATTTAACCTTATAACTAATTTCCACACTTTGGGAATAAAGAAAATTACTTTTCTCTCTTAATTGAAAATTGCTGAAAGAAACCCCAGATTTCAATCTCTAGTTAGAATTATCTGAGTTTCCCCCTTTCTGTAACTAGAAAGAGATTACTATAAAGGGATAAAATTGGTTCAACAGAAAGGATAGTATAACTTATTTCCCACAAAGGATGATGGTGTGTCTTAATATGTCTGTTCTTCTCTGCTTTAGAGAGCATCAGAGGACAGCTGAGACATTAAGGGGATGTGTATTGCATTTACTCCAAATGCACCCATTAGGAAATAAAGAGATCACTAGATGTAAATACATAGCTTCTAAGCACTCACCATACAATATTTGGGGGGTTGGGCATAACATTGTCACTCATTTGACCTCATGTGATGTGTTGTCTTTCTCAGCTACGTCTCAGCCTTTGGGAACATACTTGGCATATGAGGATGGTCATGAGTACCAATGAGAGCAACTTAACAGGCTTCATTCTGTTGGGGTTTTCTGATCATCCTCAGTTACAGAAGGTTCTATTTGTGGTCATATTGATCCTGTATGTACTAGCTATTTTTGGGAACACCACCATCATTCTGGTATCTCGTCTGGAACCCAAGCTTCACACACCAATGTATTTCTTTCTTTCTCATCTCTCCCTTCTGGACCTTTGCTTCACCAGCAGTGTTATTCCCCAGCTCCTGGTAAACTTGTGGGATCCCATGAAAACCATCACCTATGGTGGCTGTGTGGTTCAGCTCTATGTCTCCCTTGCCCTGGGATCCACTGAGTGTGTTCTCCTGGCTGTGATGTCCTATGATCGCTATGTGGCTGTCTGCCGTCCCCTCCATTACACTGTCTTAATGCATCCCCGTCTCTGCGTAACCCTGACATCTATGGCATGGCTCAGTGGTGTGGCCACCACCCTGGTACAGTCCACCCTCACCCTGCAACTGCCCTTCTGTGGGCATCACCAAGTGGACCATTTCATCTGTGAGGTCCCTGTGCTCATGAAATTGGCTTGTGTGGATACCACTTTCAATGAGGCTGAGCTGTTTGTGGCTAGTATCCTCTTCCTTATAGTGCCTGTCTCATTCATCCTGGTCTCCTATGGCTACATTGCCCAAGCAGTGTTGAGGATCAAGTCAGCTACTGGGAGACAGAAGGCATTTGGGACCTGCTCTTCCCACCTGATAGTTGTCATCATCTTTTATGGAACCATCATCTTCATGTATCTGCAGCCAGCCAAGAGTAGGTTCAAGGACCAGGGGAAGTTTGTTTCCCTCTTCTATACTGTGGTGACTCCCATGCTTAATCCTCTTATTTATACTCTGAGGAATAAAGATGTTAAAGGGGCACTAAAGAAAATGCTAGAGAAAATTCTGGATACAAATTTTACATGATTATACAATGTTTTTAAAGTGATTCTGTTATAAACATCTTTTTTGTGGCAAAAAAATAACATTGAATAGGAGGCCTTGGGGATCATTTTTCCCATTGTGTTTTGGTTAAATACAGATACAATATTTTGTGTTATGTAAAATACCATAGAATATATGTCTATAAACATATATGGAATATATGTCTATAAAGTTTCAACTTTTCCATTATCTAATAATAGTACAAAGTGAGTCTTTTAGTCAATCTATGCTTTAGTATCTTTGCTACTGGATATATTATTTACGTAGCACACAAGAAACTTCTTTTAAATACTTTACAAGATTAAGACTAGCATGGAAATTAAGACCAAAAGTTAAAATGTTAACTTCTTTTTCCTTCAGTTACAAATAACACATTTATCTCCAAGCCTTCCTGAAGGATGGACATGTGGACTATTTGTTTCTAGGGATGTAGCTGAGATTGATGGTGCATGTTGAGCAAAGTGTCAAGAAACAAGAACCCTATATGCCACCCATTTAAAATGTAAAAGATAGGCCAGGAGTGGGGGCTCATGCCTGTAATCCTAGCACTCTGAGAAGCTGAGGCAGGTGGATTGCCCTGAGCTCAGAGGTTCAAGACCAGCCTGAGCCAGAGTAAGACCCCCATCTCTTAAAAAAAAAAAAAAAGCCAGGCATTATGGGAGGCACCTGTAGTCCCAGCTACTTGGGAGGCTGAGGCAAGAGAATTGCTTAAGCCCAAGAGTTTGAGTTTGCTGTGAGCTATGATGCCACAGCACCCTACGGAGGGCCACAAAGTGAGACTCTGTCTTGATAAAAAAAAAAAAAAAAGAAATAAAATGTGAAAGATATGTGTAGAAGTACAAAAATAACATAATAACAAAAGGCACACATTAAACATAATGGATAAAGATTTTTTTTTAAAGCCTGGTTATCTGATTTTATGGCTGAACCACTGAATCAGTTTGAATTGCCTACAACTTTACCATTTCTAATTGAGGAAATTAGAGATTTGAGTCTTTTTTTCTTGGTTAGGTTGGCCAAAGGCTTATCTATTTTATTTACCTTTTCAAAAAACCAACTTTTTGATTTATTAATTTGATGTATAATCCTTTTGTTTTCAATTTCATTTAATTCTGCTTTAATTTTGGTTATTTCTTTTCTTCTGCTGGGTTTTGGGTTGGAGTGTTCTTCCTTTTCCAGTTGCTTGAGGTGTCCCATTAAGTTGTTAACTTCTCTTTCTGTTTTCTTGAGGAAGGCTTGCAGTGCGATAAATTTCCCTCATAGGACTGCCTTTGAGATGTCCCAAAGGTTCTGATAGCTCATCTCTTCATTGTTGTTTAATTCCAGGAATTTGGTAATTTCCTTCTTGATCTCGTCTTTGACTCAAGTGTCATTGAGCATAAGGTTATTTAGCTTCCATGATTTTGTTTGATTCTGCAAGTTCCTGTTGTTTCTGAGTTCAACTTGTATTCCATGGTGGTCTGAGAAGATGCAAGGGATAATTTCTATTCTTTTAAATTTGCTGAGGTTAGACTTGTGACCTAGGATGTGGTCTATTTTGGAGTATGTTCTGTGGGCTGATGAATAAAGTGTGTATTCAGTTTTATTAGGGTGAAATGTTCTATAGATGTCCGTTAAATCCAGATGTTGAATGGTTAGGTTTAAATCTAGAATTTCTTTGCTAAGCTTCTTGTTGGATGATCTGTCCAGCACTGCCAAAGGGGTATTAAAATCTCCGACTATGACGGAGCTGGGAGTAATCAGGTTGCTCATGTCTGTTAAAGTG